TGTCAGCTGATTTCTCAAAAAAAACTTTGCAGGCCAGAAGGGAGTGGCAAGAAATATTCAGAGTGATGAAAAGCAAGAACCTACAACCAAGATTACTCTGTCCTGCAAAGCTGTCATTTAGAATCGATGGCCATATAAAGACTTTCCCAGACAAGAAAAAGTTAAAGGAGTTCATCACCACCAAACTGTTACTATATGAAATGTTGAAGGGTCTTTTTGAAGAAAAAGATAAAATATATGAACAAACAAAATGGCAATGAATACATATCTATCGACAATGGAATCTACAAACAAAATGAACAGGTAGAATAGAAACATTCTCATAGATACAGAGAACATTTTGTTGGTTGCCAGTTGGGAGGGGGTTTGGGGGAATGGGTGAAAAAGGTGAAGAGATTAAGAAGTACAAATTCATTGCTAGACTGAAAAACTTCAAAGGGAAAGGGGTTGGGGGTGGTGGGAAGAAATAAACCAAAGAACTTATATGCATAACCAATGGACGCAGACAATAGTGTGGGAAAAGGCGGGAGGGGGGAGGGAGGGGGGAGGGAGGGGGAGGGAGGGGGAGGGAGGGGGGAGGGAGGGGGGAGGAGGGGGTCAATGGGGGAAAAATGTGGAACATCTGTAATACATTCTACATTCAACAATAAAGATCTTTTTAAAAAAGAGAGAGAACAAAGAGAACTCCAAGCCCAAATGGTTTCATTGGCAAAATCTACTAAATATTTAAGGAAGAAATCACACTAATTCTGCACAAACACTTCAAGAAAATAGAAAAGAAGGCAACATGTCCCCATTAATTTTATCAGGCCAGAATGCCTTAATAACAAAACCAAAGATATTACAAGAAAAGAAAATTATAGAGCAATATCACACATGAATATAGACATAAAAATTCTAGACAAAATTTTAGCAAATCAAAAGAACTGTTCATCATCTAAATACTCAGTGGTATATAATGATTTTCCTTTTATAACACTAAATTTTATTTCCTAAAAAAGATTAGCAAATCAAATCTATAAATATATACAGTAAAAGAGATAATACGTTACATGGATTTTATTACAGGGATGTAAGGTTGAATTACATTTTTAAAAAAATCAATGTAATTCATCATATAAGCAATCTAAATAAGAAAAACTGTAGACCCTATCAATAGATGCAAAAATTTTTTTTGACAAAATTCATAGAATATTCATGATAAAAACTCTAGGCAAAGTATAAATTAAAATAGACTTTCTCAACCTGACAGAGTATCTAAAAAATATTTCTGCTAACTTGGTTAATAATGAAAGACAGTGTTTTCCCCCTAAGATCTGGAACAAGATAAGGATGTCAACTCTCTCTACCAATTTGACATCGTACTGATGTCTTTGCCATTTCAATAAGTCAAGAAAATGACTAAAAGGCATATAAATTGGAAAGGAACAAACAAAAATGTTTGTTTTCAGACAACATAAGTATCAGTGTAGAAACTCTAAAAGGATCTTTAAAAAAAAAAAACACAAACTATCACAATAGTTCTGTAAGAAAGCAGAATCGTAGGTACAATGGGCTGGGGAGAGTAGGAAATGGGGAGTTATTTTTTAATGGGTATGATTTCAGTTTTGCAAGACAAAAAAGTTCTGGAGATCTGTTGCATAACAATGTAAATATATTTAAGACTACTTAATTGCACATTTAAGATGGTTATGATGACAAATTAAAATGATAGATACCACTCAACATCCATTAGGATGGCTAAAATGTTTCTGAAAATTGACACTAGAAAAAAAATAACCTGAGGATTGGAGTAACTGGCTCATACACTGCTGATCACAGTGAAAATGCAACAAAAACTTTGGAAGAAAGTATGGCAGTTTCTTAAAAAGTAAAACATATACTTACCATGCCACTTAAAAAAAATGAACAGAATAAACAAGAGAGTTCAATTTGGTTGTCAAATGCAAAGTCAACTTAACAAAAATTAATAACATTTTCTTACTCCAGCAATAAAATAACACTTAGGAAACATAATAAATATATATATTAAAAAATTATATAGTCTCTAGGAATACAAAAGATCTGCACAAGAAAAAAATTTTAAATCCAATTTTCACAGGTGTTACAAATACATGGAGATATGTTCCATGCTCTTTGATGGGAAAATTTAATAAAGGTATCAGTTCTCCCCAAAATCAATTTATAAATTCAATGCCAGCTGAATTTTTTAAGATAATTGATTAGCTTACTCTAAAATTTATATGGAAGGATAAAAATACATGAATAGCTAGGTTAATTTTCAAATATATGAACAAAAATATGATTTGTTCCACTAGATATTATATTAAAATGCAAAATAATTTAAAGATATTACAGTATGGGGATAAACGGACCAATAGCATAGAATAGAGAGCAAAGAAGCAGATACACACACACACCTACCTCACCCCTAATAACCCTACATTTCTGCTCCTGGCTTTATTTGCAAAAGAGATTCTATTATAGTTCCATTAGAATAACTCAAGTGTGAGTGAGGATATAGATAACACAAGATGGCCATGAGCTGATCATTGTTGAAGCTGGGTAATATTGAAACATGGGTTCACTTATAGTGAGTGCTCTCTCCACTTTTATATATGCTTAAAATTTTCCATAATAAACCCAAATTTCAGAACAAAGACAGAAACCAAAGCATATACTGCTTCAATGATCACCCTCTCCCCCTCAAGGACTGGACCAACCTATAAGCTCCTGGGATTCAGGGCTAGATATTTAGGCATACTCAGAAGACATGGCCTCAAGCTGTTAAAGGAGAAAGAGCTGGAACTGAGCCCAAATGCTCCAAGACCTCTGCCTTTTACAGAGAAAGCTAAAAATATTCCATTAGTCTGCTGAAATAGTGAAGACATTTAGCTCACGTGAAGGGCTTTGTAAAAGAAAAGAATAGTCTCAACAGATAATTAAATGCAAGGTCTATATTATACCTAAATTTGCAGTCAAGATTTATCCCACTTGAGTGGTATGGGAACTCTAAGGCTCTAAGGTAAGAAAACAACATAAAAACTAGTCCAAGACAACAAAAATCTCTCAGGACCCAGCAGTAGTAAACACAAAGTCTCTCTTGTAGGGGTACTTTCATGAGCTATAGCACATGGGGGCTCCAATAACAAACAAAATCCATTGTATATGAGTTCACAATAAAAAAATCACAAACCGGCCCTGGCCAGTTTTGCTCAGCAGTTAGAGCGTCAGCCCACAGACCAGAGTCCTGGGTTCAGTTTCCGCTAAGGGCATGTACCTTGGTTGCAGTTTGTCCCCGCCCCGAGTTGGGGCCGTGTGGGTGGCAACCAGTCGAAGTGTCTCTCTCACATCAATGTTTCTCTCTCCCCCCGACCCCCACCCCCCATGCTCTGTCTGAAGATAAATGCAAAAATGTCCTCAGGTGAGGATTTTTAAAAAAATCACAAACCTCTCTGGCCGGTTTGGCTCAGCAGTTAGAGTGTCAGCCCAAAGACCAATGACCTGCAGGTTTGATTCCGGTTAAGGGCATGTACCTTGGTTGCGGTTCAGTCTCCCACCCTGGTCAGGGTTGTGTGGGAGGCAACCAATCAATATGTCTCTCTCATGTCGATATTTCTGTTTCTCTTTCTCTCTTTCTGTCTCCCCCCCCCCCACTCTATCTGAGGATAAAATGGAAAAATATCCTCATGTGAGGATTAAAAACTGAATGAATGAATGAATAAAATCACAACAAGAGGCAATAGACTGCCCTGAAGGAAAATTTGATAATCTGAGAACTAGAATAGAACAATGTTGCCCGGCCGGTGTGGCTCAGTGGTTGGGCATTGACCCAGGTACCAAGAGGTCACTGGTTCGATTTCCGGTCAGGGCACATGCCCAGATTGTGGGCCAAATCTCCAGTGGGGGGCATGCAGGAGGCAGACAATCAATGTTCTCTCTCATCGATGTTTCTCTCTCTCTCTCCCTCTCCCTTTCTCTCTCTCTAAAGGTCAATTTAAAAAAAAAGAATAAAACAATGTGTAGAATGATTACATACTTTTTTTAAATGGAAAGAAACTATAGTGAAAAAAATACTGTAGAACAATGTATCTCCATCTCTCAAAGAACCATGAATGGCTCTCCACTGCCCTTAAGGCACTGTGACTTCTCTTACCTTCCTGACTTCATCTCCTACTCTTCCCCGCTGGCTCACTCTGTTTGTTATACAGTTGCACTAGGGTCTTGCACTAGCAGCTCCTTACACCTGAAATACACTTCCCCCAGACCACCACATGGTTCACTCCTTGACTACTTCAGGTCTCTGTTCAAATGTCACCTACTTACTGAGGCCATTCCTTGACCATACTTCTTAAAACTGCAACCCCACTCATGCCTGGGTACTCCCTTCCATGGCTGACTGGCTGGCTGGCTGGTTGGTTGGCTGATTGGTTGACTTATTTTTATACAACATATATCATCATCTGACTTACTAAATATTATATTACCTTGTTTACTGCCTTCCACCCCCAATTATAATGTAAATTCAATAAGAAAGATTGTGTCTGTTTTAATCAGAGCAGGATCCTTAGAGCACAGACCAGTATCTAACATAAAGCAGGTGCTCAATAAATATTTGTTGAATGGCCCTAGCCAGTTTTGCTCAGCGGTTAGAGCATCAGCCTGCGGTCCAGAGAGACCCGGGTTCGGTTTCCACTAAGGGCGCATACCTCGGTTGCAGTTTGTCCCCAGCCCTGGTGGGATTGTGCGGATGGCAGCCACTTGATGTGTCCCTTTCACATCGATGTTTCTCTCTCTATCTCTATCTTCTTCTCTCTCCCTCCCATTCTATCTGAACAAAAAATGGAAAAATGTCCTCAGGTGAGGATAAAAAGAAAAAAATTGTTGAATGAAGAGAGAGGAAATCAGAGAGAGCTGATCATTCTTGTAAAATATGAGATAGAATTTTCTCATTCATTTATACATGCATACACAGTGAAACATTTACTGAGTGTGCTTACCTTATAAAAGGGAATGTTAAAATATTCCTTTCCTCAATGTGGAAATTCTTCCTTCTTTTCCTAAAAAAACTGACTAAAACTGACTATTCAATAAATAATTTACTATAAAGCATTAGAACATTTCATAAGTTATTAAAAGTAGACAGACAGTATGGTAAAAATCACCTTTCATAGTTCAGCTTCCTGTTCCTTATTTTTATCCTTCCTTAGAACTCATATGTATGTCTACGCCATCAACCATCAATTTCTATATAACTGTGTGTCTGAGTACAAAGTCTTGTCTCCTACTTACTCAGTTTATTGGTTTATCTTTGATGTGTATTCCTTTTGCTATTGATATAGAAATGCTAAAAGTACGTATTAAAATCTACCACTCTATCTGTGCCCTAGAATGAGCTAAGGTACATTATTTGGGAACAAAAAAGCTGATGACTATAGCATGGTATTATAATAGCCACCTCTGCTAGATTCCAATTTTCTGATTAACATACATGTGCATTCTGGTAAAAATAAAGCTTGTGTCTTACACAAGACTCCAGAGAGAAAAAAGCTAAAACAATATTATTATACCTTTTTAACAAAAATCTCTGCTAATAATTTTCTTTGGTTAGCCCAATAATTTTCAGATAACAGTATTTTTTTTTCCCTTAAGGTTACTACTATTAGGACAAAGTAGGTTATATGTCTCACCTTGCATAAATGTATTTTTGGAATTGTGCTGTATTGAGCCCACACATAACCAGAACCTAAAATTATTCTTAGGTTTACATATAGAAATTTCACAATTGTTTTACCAATGGTGTCTTAAATACTTTGTCAGGTGGTTTAGTAAAAAATAAACACACATAACATCAGTTTTAAATTCTAACTACAGTATACATACTATAAAAATAGTCACAAGGTATCCAAACTGTTAAAGCAGTTTGTATAAACTGTAATACGTCTTAGTCATTTTATTACTAAACTATTTCATTGTTTGAGCCCCATTTAATAACTTTCTTAGTAATAAATTCACAGCCTTCATCAAGTTCTGCCTAATGCTGCCATCTCGAGGTTCACAGTGTGATTGCAGGCAAATCTTATTGAATAGCTGACATGCCTCTTCAGAAAGGGAAAAACAGCCATGGAGTTTAAATAGTCCATATTAAAGATCTATAAGAATTGTTAGTTATATATATATCTTAAAAAAATATTATTTTGAATATTTTACTTTATAAATGTTTCATTATTTAAGTCTTATCATTTTATCCTTATTTAAAAGTTGTAAAGAATTTTTTCATTCTGCTCCTCTTTAAGTATTTATTAAGTATTTTCTGGAAGTATATACATGAAAGATTTTACAGTATTATTTGCTCATAAGAAAGCAAAGTCAATCATTTATATTATGTAGAAAAATTAAGTTTCTTCATTTTACAAATTGTTTGCCAGCATAATAATACATTGCAGTGAATTATGTCCTAGTTATTTTAATTTATATGATGTAAATTGGCTTAAAACATTATATTAGTTTTAGGTAACATAATGATCCGTTATTTGTATATATTGTAAAATGATCACCACAATAAGTCTTTTTTTTGTTTTAATTCCTCACCTGAGGATATTTTTCTACTTATTATCAGATAGAATGGGAGGGAGGGAGCGAGAGAGACAGAAAAAAACATCAATAAGATAGAGCAACATCGACTGGTTGCCTCCCGTACGACCCGACCAGGGCCAGGGATGAACCGCAACTGATGTATGTGCCCTTGACTGGTATCGAACCTCAGGCTGACATTCTAACCATTGAACAAATCCGGCTAGGGTGAGAACTTTTAAGATCTATTTTCTTAGCATCTTTCAAATATGCAATATAGTATTATTATGGTTACTATGCTGTACATTACATCCCCAGGAGTTATTTTTATTTTATAACTGGAAGTTTATACCTTTTGACCCCCTTCACCCATTTCACCCACCTCCCTACTTCTGACCACCACCAATCTGTTCTCTGCATCTAAAAGCTTGGTTTTGTTCTTTATTTTGTTTTTAAGATTTCCCATATAAGTGAGCTCACAAAGCATTTGTCTTTCTCTGTATTACTTATTTTATTTAGCATAATGCTTTTAAGGTCCATCAATGTTGTTGCAAATGGCAGTATTTCCTTCTTTTTTTTTCTTCTTTCTTTATTTTGAGAGAGGGAAAGGAAGGGACAGGGAGAGTGAGATAGAAACATCAATGAGAGAGAACATCAATTGGATGCCTCCTACATGCCCCTCACCGGGGGTTTGGCCCACAACCTGGACAAGTGTCCTGACCAGGAATCGAATCAGCGACCTCTTGGTGCATGGATCGATGCTCAACCACTGAGTCACACTGGCCAAGCTTTCCTTCATTTTTTTTTTTTTAATCTTTATTGTTGAATGTAGAATGTATTACAGATGTTCCACATTTTTCCCCCATTGACCCCCTCCTCCCCACTCCCGCCCCCCTCCCGCCTTTTCCCACACTTGTCTGCGTCCATTGATTATGCATATAAGTTCTTTGGTTTATTTCTTCCCACCACCCCCAACCCCTTTCCCTTTGAGGTTTTTCAGTCTAGCAATGAATTTGTACTTCTTATTCCCTTCACCTTTTTCACCCATTCCCCCAAACCCCCTCCCAACTGGCAACCAACAAAATGTTCTCTGTATCTATGAGAATGTTTCTGTTCTACCTGTTCATTTTGTTTGTAGATTCCATTGTCGATAGATATGTATTCATTGCCATTTTGTTTGTTCATATATTTTATCTTTTTCTTCAAAAAGACCCTTCAACATTTCATATAGTAACAGTTTGGTGGTGATGAATTCCTTTAACTTTTTCTTGTCTGGGAAAGTCTTTATATGGCCATCGATTCTAAATGACAGCTTTGCAGGACAGAGTAATCTTGGTTGTAGGTTCTTGCTTTTCATCACTCTGAATATTTCTTGCCACTCCCTTCTGGCCTGCAAAGTTTCTTTTGAGAAATCAGCTGACAGCCTTATGGGAACTCCCTTGTAGGTAATTAGCTGCCTTTCTCTTATTGCTTTTAAGATTCTCTCTCTGTCCTGAACCTTTTGCATTTTGATGATGATGTGTCTTGGTGTGGACCTCTTGGGGTTCATCTTGTTTGGGACTCTCTGTGCTTCCTGGACTTGTATGTTTCCTTCCTTCACCAAGTTAGGAAAGTTTTATGCCATTATTGTTTCAAACAGGTTTTCGATTTCCTGTTCTCGCTCTTCTCCTTCTGGCACCCCCAAGATGCGAATGTTGGCACGCTTGAAGTTGTCCCAGAGGCTCCTTACACTCTCCTCATTTTTTTGGACTCCTTCTTCTTTTTGCTGTTTTGATTGGGCGTTTTTTGCTTCCTTATATTCCAAATCGATGGTTTGCTTCTTGGCCTTACCTACTCTACTATTGAATCTTTGTAAATTATTCTTTATTTCAGTTAAAGCCTCCTTCGTTTCTAACTGTGCATCGATCATTTCTGACATGTCCTTGAGCATTCTAACTATGCATCCATGATTTCTGACTGGTCCTTTTTTATGCTCTTGAGGCCCTCACTAAGTTCACTGAGGTTTTCACTAAGTTCATTGACAATCCTTATAAGCAGGGTTTTGAACTCAGAATAATCTGTTAGGTTACTTATCTCCATTTCGCTTAGTTCTTTTCTTGGGGTTTTGTTCTGTTCTTTCATTTGGGACCTGTTTCTTTGTCTCCTCATTTTGGCTGCCTCCCTGTGTTTGTTTCAGTGTATTACTTAATGAGAGGTATGGGGCTCGCTGAGACCAGATGCTGCTCGTTTGAAAGAATTTGGGAAAAACCTGAAGCAGGATCCAAGACAGGCCAATCCTATGGTTAAGCAAGTGGCAACAGCTTGGGTGGGCCTGAAAGTTGGGCGGGGCAGGGCGGGGCCTCAGGGAGTCACCAGGGCGGGGCTACCAGTGTGAGCCAGGTTGCTGGAGTCCCAGATATGGTGGCTGTCTGCCGCCCCAGGGAAGGGCTCACCAAAGGAACAAAGGCCTCTGACAGCACGTTTGTCCCGGAGAAAGCCCCCTCTCCAGCCCTCGCTCCAGTGCCAAACAGCTCAGTTCTTCCCTGTATGTCTCTGGTGCCCCTTGAGCTGCCTTCCCTCCAAGCTTAGAGGGAGAGAGTCCAATAAGTCCGTGCGCGGGCCCTTTAAGGAGCTGCCTGGGGCTCCAGCCGTGTCAGCCTCCCTGAGCCTCAGTTCCTGCTGGTTTTTCCAGCCAGAAGTTATGGGGACTTCTCTTCCTGGCACTGGAACCCTAAGCGGGGCACCTGGTGTGGGACGGGGACCCCTCAGTCCTCAGGAAGGAACTTCCCAGCCGAGGTGTCCTCCTGATTTTTATCCACCACATGTAGGTGTGGGACCAGCCCATCTCACCGCCTTCTCGCCGCTGCCCCTCCTACCAGTCTCCATGTAGCTTCTTTAATTCCGTAGTTGTAGGACTTCCATTCAGCTTGATTTCAGGCGGTTTTGAATGATGGTTGTTCTGTAGTTTAGTTGTAACTTGGATGTGGTTGTTGGAGGACTCGATACTGCGTTTACCTATGCTGCCATCTTGACCGGAAGTCCTTTCCTTCATTTTTTAAGGCTAAATATTCCATTGAGTATGTATATGTATGTATATATATATATATATATATATATATATATATACATACACACACACACACACACACATACAGGGTATCCCCCAAAAAATATATATATACAGTGTATCTGTAGATTTTATTACATTTTGAAAATGAAATGTATTTGAATAAACACTGGCTTTATAGTTATTCAAAGTTATGTACATATATATTTAGGGACACCCTATATATATCTCACACTTTATATATACAGTTGTCCCTCACCATTTCGCACTTCGACTTTTGTGGCTTCACTCTGTCACTATTTTTCAAATATATTCATTAAAAAGTTGACCGAGACAGTGAAAATGATACAGCACGCACTCAGTTGTCTGAGTCAATTATACACCCCTGTATTACAATTAAAATGAAAATTATTGTACGTATGGACTGTAGGCCTATGTATT